CAGAGGCAACTTGTTTTGCAAAAACCTCAAGCTCTTCTTTAGGCTGCAACTGCGTCATTCCTAGGTCACAGTGTCGTACAAGCGAAAAAGAACCACCAGACATGTCACGTTTTCCCTGATTTCTAGTCCCTGCACGCTGCGAGCCATATTAGTGGCGGACAATGTAGCTAATGCACGTCCCTCATTATTGGATATGCCCACACCCGTTCCCCTCAACCGCACAACTGCCATCTCAACCTGAATATTAATCACCGTTTTTGAAATCGGGTAATGCCACCTCACTGCGATAGTCAGAAATTGTGGCCAATTTTTTCTCCATGCTGTCTCCAGCCGCGGTCCATCTCATAACATTGTGACATCTAACCGACATTTTGACACGTTCCTTCCCNTCTGTGATACGGCCTTTGATTTCGCCGAACATACTGCAGAATTTTCTAAACCACGAAACTTGGTGACAACGGCTCCCCTCTCACATCCACTAGTTCATCCGCCCTATATCTTAATGGCCACGCTAAGCGGGAGAAAAACGTCCGTCGGTTTAGGCTCAGCTTCTGCGGCTCTGGATTAACAACGAGCTTCAAACCTTTTCCGCTTATCAGGTTCCAATGCTGTCACTTCCAACCTGACCCCGAAAATAGTGTCTCGGCAATACATCTGAGCTTAGGTTTGCTGTATTGCACAAACAAACGATGAAGGTGAGCTTGAAATGTTAGTTACCAAACATTTGCATCGTTGCTTATGCGAAAACTTGGCTCCACAAGGCGGCCAAGAATACTCAGATAAGCAGCTCTAGCCTTTTCATACTAAACAGTGACAGAAACATCAAACAAGTTGCAAGAGTAGCCCAATACATATCAGAATTCAAACTATTCTAGGGTTTTAGCTCCTGGCTTTAGGTAAGGGTCAGAGTTGCCTGAAAAATGCTTCTAGATGAAGCTGTGTTTGTCAGATACATGACCAGATTCACATCCGGGCTGGATAAATACTTTGCATCGTTGGACACCAGCCTATTTTATGGCATGAACCCTGGGCCGAACGTAGCTCCACCCACTCAGTTTAAAATTATATTAAAAAATGACGGCAACTGCAGCAACGTGTGCTGCGTCCCTCGTTTCTTTAACTTTGTTGAACGGCTTCAGTAGGAAGGAACACAAGATCTCAGGGATCCGCTGGCTGTGGGGTAGCCGACTCTGGTTACAAATTCAGCTTGTGCAGCTGAAATAGGAAAAGATGCTAGCGAAGGTTCAGCCATGGTGACAGCAGCCCTTGAGGGTTACAGTGGCACATGCGGCTGCGGGAACGGTGAAGAGTCACGGTTGCTTATATAGGGAGATTTGTGATAAGGCATGCACCGTGAGCTAAGAGACGTATGTTTGGAATAAATGCAGTCAGAGTCTCGCCTGGGTGCACTGAAGTAGGATCGCGAATTTCTTACTTGCGAGTTAATCCTGCCGTGGAACACCTATCGAGGAGAGGGATTTTCCTAGGTGGACGGTGTACCTGGACTGGAAGTTTGAGACTGCACTCCTCGAATTTGGCGTTGTGAGAAACAGTGAAAATCGGTCACCGGTATCCAGGTATAAGCACTTGATGGGTATGTGTGGCATCCCCAAAGCTTGTGGGATATTTCCTAACAAACGCCGTTTAGTGTCAAGAAACTTCAAGACTGCAGAAACTTCTTCGGGGTCTTTACACTGCACACTTTCGAGCGCGTCGACACCACTTTACGCAGTAGTCCAACGGGGAACGGAAAACGGGGAATAGGAGATGGTAACGTTGGTCGGTCTATGTTACGGGAAGCTTTCCAGGTGTTCAGACGGACAGCTGTTTGATATTAAGTGAGAACTTTCACAGAAGAAAATCAAAAAGGTTAATCCACACTCCCGAGATTTGTGATAACTACTGGGTTGAGTGGTGCGGGCGTTTTCTGTATGCTTGAGGGAGATAAGTAATCTGTTTCGGATGGATATAGTGGATGTTTTAGAGCTTCAGGGGAGAGCAATTTTAGCTACATGCGGTCCGCTGAAAAGTTTCCGAATTACTACGCCTTACTCTTACTGTCGGTGCAAAGCGCCCTTCAATGATCGGTCATAGTGAGCAAATAACGCGCTCATAAGAATCAGGCAGCATGCAATCAATTGTTTACACAATGCCGGCGATTTAACCGCGAAACAAAAGTAAATCGCTAACGCCTAACCGAAGGAATTTGTTAACGGTAAAGCCACAATGCCTATACATCGTAGGCGTCTCTTCTGAAAAGCCTGTACAGATCGCGAGTGGTTGCTCCATTTCGAGTTTACACGAAAGTAGAGGGCATTGTTATCGTTTATGGTGATGTTACTTTCAAATCCAACTTACCGCCAAATTCTCACCATTTTTATGGAGACACGGTGCTGAGGCACTGGTGCCCAGTGGAACTTTGAATGACGGGAAGCCACCGACGCTGGACTTTCACAAAGGTGCGATACCGGCACACTGGTTCTGAACGGGCAGATATGAAAATTGTCATTATTGACATACAAAGTACACATTCAAGCAAGTTGAGTGACGCGCGGCAGGTCAGAGCAAGGCAACCACGTGCGTGTGTTGAAACCCGAACGCCAGGCGCAAGGAAGTACCAAAATGGCCCAAGGTCACACAAAAAGAAGTACGCCGCTTACTAAAAGCACAGTTAAATTATTTTCGCCGAAACTATGTGATTTTCAAAGTTTGGGCTTTTAAGGGGAGTTAGTCCAATCTCTTAGCTTTTCGGTGATGTTGCCCATAGCATTTTATTCAAGTGAGAGAAATTTCAAGGGCACGGGTCATCAGAGTTTCGCATTTTGTTACCGGTTAAGGAGTGATTAATCATGAAATCCCACTTGGCGTATTTTGCCATTCTTCTGTGTTCTTATTTAATGAATAAAATTATCCAATGCAAATTCGATGCAGGAAAATCGGCCTTTAACTTTTATTTGCTCTATGCTCCTCAGGCACACCTGACGGCACCGCTTTGCGTAAGGAGGTTTTCGCAAAGCTAAGCATATACTCCCACACCTTCGAAATGTTGAGTATACAAAGAAATTATTTTCACGAACCTCTGTTGCATTCCTAGACGGGCGAATGAGTCAAGGAAAACAGACCAAACAGCCGAGTCAAATTCGCATTCGAAATCGAAAAACAGCAAAATTGTGAGCCGTTTTTACTTGTTACGCTGTTCTAGCACGTGACGGAGTGTGCTGGCCCAAATTTCTACCGAATCATTCCGTACCATGTCCGACTCTACTCTTTTCGACGATGTAAGAAACAGCTCCCATTTCAACTGCACGAAATCTCCCCAAAGACATTTCCACCATATGCAGAACATGGGGCGGAATGGCTCAGTGGCTAGAGCGCCCGTGACTGGAAGGCCCGTGGTTCGAACCCACCCTCAGCTTCTCGATTTCCCTTGTCTAGGCTTGGAAAACCTGGCAATGCCTCAGCTCTCGTGATTCTTCTTGATGACATGGTAGATAGGCCCTAAAAGTGTGCTACAGATGAACGATTTTTTATACTGAACTTCAAACCCCTCCCTTTGTAATGGAGGGAAGTGAAACGCAAATCTGGTTGTAACATGTATACTAGGCGGTCTTCCTATAAACCCAAAAATTCATTGATATAAAAAAAAACATCCAAATAAAGGCTCACTAAATAGACGTGGTATGACGTCACAGAGGCAACTTGTTTTGCAAAAACCTCATGCTCTTCTTTAGGCTGCAACTGCGTCATTCCTAGGTCACAGTGTCGTACAAGCGAAAAAGAACCACCAGACATGTCACGTTTTCCCTGATTTCTAGTCCCTGCACGCTGCGAGCCATATTAGTGGCGGACAATGTAGCTAATGCACGTCCCTCATTATTGGATATGCCCACACCCGTTCGCCTCAACTGCACAACTGCTATCTCAACCTGAATATTGATCACCGTTTTTGAAATCGTGCAATGCCACCTCACTGCGGTAGTTAGAAATTGTGACCAATTTTTTCTCCATGCTGTTTCCAGCCGCGGTCCATCTCATAACATGGTGACATCTAACCGACATTTTGACACGTTCCCCTGCTTTGGATCCCCAGTGTAGACACGTCTGATTTAGTGTATCGTTAGAATAGCATCAATGTGTCGCCGATGGACCTTCATTCGTTCTGTTTTTAATTTGTCACGATTTCTCGGTCATTCATTACTACCATGACCACCCGAACTGACTCTTCCAAGATGTTCATGTACGAGGTACCCACGAACCCAAGTATGACGTTGCGATGGCTGCATTGCGACCGCCATACCCCGAATAAGTTATGTCCTTAAAGCGTGCTCCACTCGTCCACAGGACCATCTCCATTAGCTGAATTTGCGCTATAACTGCGAAGCACTGGCCTTCGTATTGTGCAGTCTGCCAGTTCCGCCCACAAGCCCCACTTATTTTTCCAATGGTAATATCAATTGTGCCATCAGTGAAGGCAAAACCTTGCCGCGCACCCGAAATAGCGTAGGCCACCCATCATTAATCATACTAGCTATGAGCAATCCTGGGCTTTGTCTAGCAGGACGCCTGCTGCAACTATAGAAAACATTTTTCAAATGGAGGCCACGAACGGCTGCTCCATTTTGCGTTTGCGCGGACATATGTGGCGTAATTACTATTTATGCAGTCTTGAGATTATTTCCAAATCCAGTAAAGAGAAAGGCACGTGAAAAAATCAGCTTTTCCACGAAATTTTCCGCCACTTTCACGGAGCTTTCATGTGAAGACTTTGACAGTCATTGAATTATGAATTCGGCGCCCACGAAAGACCACGAGTACGCTTGTACAACTTCCGAAAAACTGCGTTCGCGTGTGGGTGCTTTTAGATTCGAATAAATACCATCAAATTCCAAAGCCATATGGTAAAGATTCCTTCGTTCAAGCTGCGATTTCAGTGAAATTCGGAGTGTGCTTCTAAGGGTCCGTGAAACAAGAACTGAACATGTTTAACCTACAAAAGCGCGGCGCCGTACTGCGAATAGCTGCTTTCTCGCTTGCGTGGCGGGATGGGACTTTGCAAATGCGAAAGGAAACGAGTTACGAATTTATTCTGCTTTGAGCACCGAGTTAATGTCTGTGAGTTTTGCATGGTTGCTTCACATAAAAAAGTAAGTTGCTGTACGCTCTCCTATTGCCGCAGTGTGTTGTGAAGTCCTATCTACGTTGGCTGAAGGACAGTAATTTCAATCCAACCTGCATCATATGTAGCGAACAGCTAGACGCTTCTGACAAAGAGTGCGTTCGGTTAGTGTGTTTAGGTAATTGACCTATTTGGTGTAGCATATTTTTTAGATGTCTTCCATTGGGACTGTTTGAACGAGCTGGTCTCCACCGCACCTGCAACAACAGCACCAGCGGGATATGTTTGCCCCTCTTGTGGTCAAAGTATAATTCCTCACAGCAATCACGGAGGTCCCGTAGCAGAAGCCTTGCGGGCATTCCTGGAGAGGGTGGACTGGGCTAAGCCTTGTCTGAATGGTTTTCAAACGTTTACACAGACACCAGTACTTCAACGCCCCATCTCACCGCAGCGGACCGACTTTCAGATTCTCTGTAAGTGTAGACCCGTCATCTATTTATGGGTTCTCCATCACGATACGGTTCAACGCTCCTAGTTACATGTGGTTGAGAATTTTTTTAAATTTATCATCACAACAGACAACGATGAGCGCTCATGCTTCTTTCATTCAGTCATATCAGATCGTGTCCAGAAACAACGCAAACCACTGGTTCCTACCTCCTGGCCGACCGTTTACCCACCTTTACGCTCTTTTCGCTACCCTGCTCGAGTAAATCTAACCAAGAGTGGCTGTATGAGGCGATCACGGGCAAAGCTACCGCAGATGTGGAACCTTTGTTAGTCCCACCTGCATAAGTAGAAGACACCTTATAGGCTCAGTCATTCATTACCAAATCAACGCGCCAATCGATGGTTTTTTGATAACTTACATGACGTCGCCAATTTTCGTACGGTTTTGGACTGGTCAATTTTGGCTGCCGTTTCTGTGTGACGGGGAAAATGTCTTAATCAGATTCAGCATGTTCGAAATATCTCCACTACTGGAATGGTATCAATCTTTCGTTGGTTTGAAGGACTCGAAGTTCGTAGCATCTAGAACCCCCAAGGTCGAAAAATTCCATTTTTCAAGTGTCTGTAATGCTCATCCGCCGGTAATTACTTCGCCGTACGGCAGTAGGCTCTTATGGCAATATTTATAGGCTTCACGAATATGCCGTGCTGTTAATGCCTACTAGGGCACAGATTCTGACCCAATGGCAATTTCACCACCGGATACCATATGCAGGATTCGACCTCACCACCTATTTTCAATATCAGCTGCTGACACGGCCTATCATGTCTTTTAGGGGAACAGGGCAAGCTGTTCTGGAACACTTTATCGTACGCCCAACCTAATGATAGCTATCACCCGGTTGCCCTTACATTTTGTTTCAGGTATCCGGTGGCACGTAAACCTCTACCATCATCCGATTATGTTGACCATCCCAGTGTGAACGTGCATACTAAGCCTTTTCGGGTGGATATTGAGGTACTGATCGTTCTAGCTGAGCATAGGAACCAACGGCAGCTCAAGCACTGCCCTCAGTCGGAACGTTTTATGTTTACCATTTAGTGGGCCACACCGTTGCCCTTCTGCTCGAGAGGTCATTAAAAGATTTTCCTTAGGTTTCATCCCGTCCAGGTTCCTAGCTGACTGGCCTATTCGAGCAGAGGAACTGAGACGTCTTCAGGTGTTTGACAACCGTTGTCTCAGAACCATAGCTCGTGTGGGTTGGTATCGGCGAATCCGTAATGAGACAGTTAGAAAGCGCGTTTTTGGTTGTGTCACGGGTACTTCCATTGAAGAATGTGTCCAGCACCAGAAGCTGCGTTGGTTGGGACATGTGTTACGTATGCCGAACCATCGTTTGCCGAAGAGAGTACTGTTTTCCATGCCCAATTCAGAGTGGCGTTAGTGTTAAGCTAGCACTAAGTCCCTCCCCCATCCACCTTTATTCTTTTCTCTACAATAAGGCTTTCAAATAAGTCATGGTTGTACGGGAGTGAAGCATTGGTGTTGAGCACTGATGTCATGCTGTCGATGATGATGATGATGCATGTTGTGGGCTAAAAGCTCAGCAGTGGTTGTGGTTATCGGTGGTCTGAATGTACAAGTAAGTAGATAGCTCGTCAGACTCAGTCAGGTGGCCGACATGAATTATTTCATATCCCTCTTCCAGACCAAAGGTTGGCCACCTCGCTGGTTGCGACACTCTGAGTTTAGCACGGAAAACAGGACCTTTTTCAGTGAACGATGATTCAGCATACCCAGTGCCTGGTCTAGTCACCGCAGCTTTTGGTGTTGAGCACATTATTCCGTTGTAGTCGCTGGTACATTACCGAACACTCGTTTTCTAATTTCCTCGGTGCGGATTTCCCTCCCCAACCTATACGAACTATGGTTCTGAGGACGTATCATTGCCTCTGCTCGCAGAGATCACGTCTCACATGCACACAGAAAGCGATCGAAACTGATTGGTAATTCGGCGGTTTGAACTGTCGGGACATACCTCTGAGATTCAAGCAACGCAACTGTAAAACTGTTAATAATGACAATAACAATGATGACCGCTCAGCCGTAACACCCTTTCGCAGCTTGTAGTGGTTAACGAATGCTAGATAGTTTAGTGGTTAGAGCCCGAATTTACTGACGGAAGGTCCGTGGTTCAACCAGAACTATGCATCTCGACTTCTGTCTAGGCTTGGGCAACCTGGCACTGTCCCAGCCCTCATGCTTCCTTCAGGTCGTGGCCAACACTGTCCCAGCCCTCATGCTTCCTTCAGGTAGCATGGCAGCCAGGCACAGAAAGGGTTTTACAGCTGAAAGATCATTTTTATTTGGTGGTTTAGGGTCCTAACTAGTCTAATGAACAGAACGAAGTACTAATGCTAGTCAGATATAACGTCCCAAGAACAATCCAAGGAAATCTGGGCTCAGAGTTCACAAGGGGAAATTTTGCAGGCTCGTATTCCGTTGAATTGTCACACCAAGAAGAAACGTTTCTACTTCCCTGGTATTCAAAATCTCAGGTAATCGCAATATTAATCCACTGATGTGAATGGATAGGTCCAGTGTTTGCGGCTAAGAAATTTTGTTCACGTTGGGAATAGGCGCCAACCAATGTTATTCGACTGACAGCCACTCAGCAAAGGCGCAAAGTCCTGCTGATCCCATTAAATCAAAGTTTGCACAATAATGTGACCAATATTGGCAGGAAGATAATAATATTAATAATATTGAGCAGGAAAAATAACAGTTTACAAGTGCAACAAGCTCAGTTGCCATGGCATCCGAAGAAAGCAACAGGACTGAGACGCTGTCGGGTTGCCCAAACTTAGACATGAGCAGTCGAAATGTCATGGGTTCGAACCACGAACCTTTCGATCGATAAGTTCGCGCCTTAACCACTGAACCATGCCGAGCTCATATCGCCGCCATTGTCTAATACCTAGTGCCTGAACGGATCTGGCGGTACTATATACCATGCGAAACTCCCGGCACTGTGAAGGGATGTGATGATCTCGGCAAGTGCAGATTGACAGTTATAAGAGTCTCTAAAAGAAGGTTCTGATAAATTCGAAGTCTGTTTCCCTTTTAGTTGACAAACGAAACGTTCGCTCCTTACGCGGCTCCAAGAAGCGAAGGACGAAGTGACTCCGGGTAACTACATTTTTATAATCCATACAAGTGTTCCAAAGCGAGCGACACTTGGTTATCAATCCACGTAATCGGTCAATAAATTGACATTGACAGTTTGGCTGGCACACTGTTAGGGAGCACCATGCAGCTAGACAACTTTGGTTATTTCGAAAGTTAGTAGGGTGTGTGGTCAACACAGCCGAAACAGTCGTTCGCCGTCGTCCGTACGTAGCGAGTCTGGTCCAAGTCGAGCAGATACACTAAGTCTCCAACAACCGCAACGATATCTGAGCTTTCCGCCCGACCTAATGGGGCACTCAGTGCGTCACAGCAGCTATCTAGATGGTGTCAAGGCTGCAGTCGGTTGGAGCGTACGCAGGCATGACAAGCAGACAATGATCAACCTCCCGCTTGCGATATTTCACAGACGTTACCGTATGAACCACACACAAGCAACCATCAACAGGTATCTGCTACAGCGGCCTCGGGATCGGCAGAAGTGCGCAAATGGAGGCGAATAAGAAAGCGATGGAGTAGTTAGCTTAATATCTGTTTTCTGTCTTGAATCATTATGTAAAGTGTGAGGTCAAAAGCAGCTTATTGTTTCCCTTCAGAATCTGAACATCAAAAGCAGTCAGACAGATCAGGCGTGGAGGTTATTTATTAATTGCGAGCCTGTTGACGCTGATGTTGCGGCCAAGACTGATGCAAGACTAATGGATTCGTATGTTCTAACGAGTAGACCTACACACATACAGCGGCTGCATTCATCTCATTTACGTTATCGTTCGCCAGCGAGGTGTTCGTTAGGTGTATATCACACGAGGAACCGAATGTTGGACTGACCACTAGCTTCAAGCTTTTTAAGCCACAACCCGCCAATTGAATCACGCAAACCCTCAAAAATCCGAAAATCAGCCTCAAACTGGTCCTTATACTGACAGCCTTCATTCCATCCAACCCAGTGACAGACGTAGGAAAACTTGAGGCGCCAGTTAGTAAGACAGTTAGCCGAGTCGGGCGACTGCGCGAGACATCCTGATGAAGTTGACGATAATAACCAGCATGTAGAATAGCTGGAAAAACGAAGCGCTTATCGAAGCTCCTGCTCATCCAGACAGCGAGGTTAAGAAAACAACAACTAAGAGGTGAACAAATCAACTTAACTCGGCGGCAGCACAAAGAATTTTACAAGTAGCTGAAAGCCATTTATAACCTGGGCCTCAAACCAATCCACTCTCCAGGTTGCTGACATGAGACTGAGGCAGACGTCGCCTGAAGAAATAGTGGATATTTGGCGCAACCACTTCAACTGCTGAAACGAAGAGCCTTTAATGGGATGCAGTGGATAGAGCAGAACTCCTAAAACTGGGTGTCAACCTTGTCCTGATAGAATCGATCATGCACTCACCTTGTGACGAGTGCTGAAACTGTTCCACCCTTTTTGATGACCAGCAATGGTCATTTTCCTCAATTTGAAAGCTTCGGCTCCGTTAATAGTCAAACTACGGCAATGTCTGGCGTTAAAAGGCGTCCCCGCTAAATTCACGTCTCTTTGTGCCTCCTTCCGTGGACGCGTACTTCTTTACTGTAGACCCTCTCCTGAGCCCACCACATACAGTGTTGGTAGGCGGGAGTACTCTCCGTGGCCCCTTTTTTTAACTTCGTCATATATGTGCCGTTTGAGTCCTCTTTACCTGCCTCTAAAACCCTCGGGATCGAAATTTTCCCGAGGTGTTCGCTAACAGACATTTTGCACGGTGACGGAATATCGCCCTTCCTGGTCCAAACCCTTAAGAAATGCAAACCATTTCTGCCATAATTTTGCTTCATGGTTCGGCGTGAGTTTTACATATGTAAGGTGTTACTACAAGCCTGGATGGGAACCAACCTCGAATTCCCTTGCAGATGAGTCGATTGGTCAAAAGAAGTTCTCCCATCTGGACAACTCGGCAGATTGGCAGATTTGGGAATGCCAGGGCAGCATTTGCCAAACCCCGACATCTGTGGCACTTACGTGAAATCAGCTTGGCTGTCAAGGGTAGTGTACATATATATATATATATATATATATATATATATATATATATATATATATATATATATATATATATATATATATATATATATATATATATATATATATATATATATATATATATATATATATATATATATATATATATATATATATATATATATATATATATATATATATATATATATATATATATATATATATATATATATATATATATATATATATATATATATATATATATATATATATATATATATATATATATATATATATATATATATATATATATATATATATATATATATATATATATATATATATATATATATATATATATATATATATATATATATATATATATATATATATATATATATATATCGTTTTATCAGCTATGAACTATGTAATAAGGGTATGTTGGTTCCACTGCTACAGTTTCCGTCACCATAAAATTGGGCCACGGGACATAGTCAAGCATGGGGAGTGATGGCATAGTCAGCTGGTCCGGGAAACTGGGCAGTTACGCGTCGAAGGGGATAGCTTTGACGCAGAGGCGCCACTGACCGCGGCTTACCGAGACGACTTGTTGCGGATTACTCCAAGTTAAGTATGGGGTATGTAGCTACTGCTACTGGAGCTTTGTTACTTTTTGAAACAGCTAATATATTGTCTTTGTGACAGTGAAAACACGCTCGTTAATTGATTTTAGTAACAATGATATGTTCGCATCCTGCGCTTGCCCTTGGTTGAGATCTTATCGACCCAAAGCCCTGATAAGCGGCCATGTGAAATAAGCCTGCTCCCGTGAGTTCACGATTAGTTGTTGGTTCCTTTCTCTATCCGACTAATTGGTTTTCGCTGTCTCATTATGGATATTAAGAAACAGGGTAGTGTGCCATGCGAACCTTGATTTTTCGAATCAAGGTCGTTTTCTTTAGGCATGGCTGTATCTTTGCTCCTTTCTTCGGTCACCGACTGCAAGTAGTGGATGGTGGAATTTTAGACTGCTTGTTTATCAATCACTCGTTTTATGTTGAGTAGTCCATGTAATTGTGTTTGATAAAAAAGATAAACTTCTTGCGCTAGGCTTTGGTTGTCTTGTGATTATACCACAGTTCATTTGTATGTTAATGGCCTGATTAACCCTCTGAATTTCCCGTATATCGTCTGAATGAATCCTGCAGACTCGTGAAGCATACTTGGGTCTCAAAGCAGAATTTTCGTGTGGTTGTCGGATTCGGTACACTATAAGACATTTTAGCCAAGTTCCTGTGGGTAGTGGATTCATAAACAGTCAAGTATTTAGAGATTTCGATTGTTTGTTGTCATCCGTCTTCTCCTTGTATCTTATTTACGTATGTATCACCGAGGCTGTAAACGTTCGTTACTTAATCAACAGCACAAACCAACAGTGGCAAACTCCTTGATCCACGACTGGATGCAGTCGCCCGACAGTTTCTCAGTGGGAAAGACGTACCGGAAACTGCTGTTTACGAACTCGCCTCAAAACCGACAGTTTCCGAAGAGCTGTGTTCAGAACACCTTTCATCCAGCGCAACATTTAATCACTCACCCAAAGCCCAGCGCCGTGAGCCTTCCTCTTCTGCAATACCGATGTTCCGCAAACCGAGAGAGGATGATGATAAATATAGACGCCGAGTCGCTCTCGGTGGGATCGCCCGATGGTTCAGGTTGGTCCATTTTTGCAGTTTGTTACAGATACATGAACTACCTGGATTATTCGCTGGCGACAGGCCATCATTCACATGTCCAGCCATATACGCTAATTCCCTCTTCCAAGAGAGCAGAAATGGGTCTTTGGGTCTCTTCTGCATGGGCTCTTTTCGGGGCAGTGTAGAGGATCTAAAATGGGTGTGTCAGTTCGTCAAAGCCTACAAGATTAAGCTGTTTGGGTGTGCTTACCCGCAGTCTATCGAAGAGAAGACAATGATGTGTATAAAAATTGTACGACACTTAACTATAACAATATTGCAAGAATCCAGGAGCCGATGAGGTAGTAATGGGAGGGAGGTTAACTCAAGCTGGACGTTGTGAAGGTGAGCTTAGTTTTTCGAGCGGGGTAACCATGGGATTCTGAATTTGAATTTGTTCGAAATGGATGAGTAAGTTGGCTTGCATCCCAAGCTTGCGCCGTTCGAGATTCCCACTCAGCACCTGGAATGTAATTTTATCACGGTATTCTAATGGTCTCAGGAAGCTAAACCATGGAGTCTATGGGCGCGGGGTGAACTTTCTACGAGATGGAAAATCCTACAAAATTTCGGTGGTGATCTGTTGTTGGCGAAATTTTTTAGTAATCTTTTTGGAGACTACTGAGGTCATTCCAGAGTCATGTTGAAAGGAGGTTCGGAAAACAATCCCCCCTTCTGTAGAGCGTTATTCCTTGTGATCATAGAAACTTTTTGAGACTTCATCGATAATGACTTCTTGGTCCTAACTCTGTTCTCTTTTGGTAATGTAGGCCCATCTGTGGAGGTTAGTAGATTAATCTCGAGGCTGCTGACGCTGATGTTGCGGCCAAGACCGATGCAAGACTAATGGGGTCGTAAGTTCCAACATGTGGACCTACACACATGCAGCGGCTGTATTCATTTCAATTACGTTACCGTTAGCCAGCGAGGTATTCGGGAGTTGTGTGTCTCACGAGGAGCCGATTTTTGGACTCACCACTTGCTTCTTAGACCACAACCCGCCGGCTGAATCATTGGGCACTTGCCGACGAAACTATCAGCACAACAGACGGTCCGTACTAATATCAAGGTTACTATCGAATCAGAACAGAATGGACTGTTAAGTTTACTCGATATCAAGGTTAAAAGGAAGACGGACGGGATCATAGAACGCAAAGTCCACAAAGCAAACGTGAAAAGGTCAGTATATTCACTTCAATAGCTTCGTTCCGTTGCAAAAGAGCGTAAGCTAATTATATGCCTGGTTGAGGGAACAATGAAGATTTGCTCCTCCGACTGCTTAGATGAAGAACTTAAGTTCTTGGGACGCACATTCCTGCAGAACGGATATCCTGAAATGTTCGTACTCAAGATTATGGAGTCCGCTAAGCCCAAACCTACACAATATTCTGTTAGGAAGAATTCCGTCTACGTGAGGCTTCCATTCAAATGTGACTCGTTTGCTGAACTAATCACCAGAAGGAATAGAAACTCTGTTGATTCGACATCCATGGGTGCTAATCTGTATTTGATCTCGAACTCTGCTGAACTAATCACCAGAAGGAATAGGGACGAATTGCCATGTCCTACCACCAGCTTTTGTGTTCCGTCTACGTGAGGCTTCCATTCAAATGTGACTCGTTTGCTGAACTAATCACCAGAAGGAATAGAAACTCTGTTGATTCGACATCCATGGGTGCTAATCTGTATTTGATCTCGAACTCCAGCCCCACTATCAGCTTCTGTTTGAAGGACGAATTGCCATGTCCTACCACCAGCTTTTGTGTGTACTCATACGCTCGTGCCGAGGATCATACATTCGTCATACGACAAGGCATTTGTCGGACAGAATACGGGAACACACTACCGTATCTCTGAGTGGTAGTTGGAAGAAACCAGGCTCTAGTGCGATTGCATCACATTTGGCCGAAACCGATCGTGCCATCGATAAAGAGCAGACCTTCACTACCATATCATCATTGTCAGCTGTAAGAACCGCGTACTGGTCGTACACTGGTTGTAGCTGCCACAGTTTCGTTCAC